TGGCTGGAAAATGTCATCTGTTTGGCAAAGCTTTCTATGAGTAGCCTACCCAGTGAAGCACAGTATTCTTCTTTTTCTAAGAGGTACCAGTTCGAAGCCCTGCCTAGCTGTTTCTACGAGCCTCAGGGTGCTATTCGATGAACTGAGCGCCAGGTGTTAGCTCCAAGAGCTGATGCTGGTATACTCGCAGAAATGCAGTTCTACCAGGAGAGATGGGGGCCAAGGCTGCCCAGCCAGGAGCTGCGCCCCCGGCAGAACACCATGTGGGCAGCACAACAGCACCGTGTGCTCTCGTTGAACACCCCGAGGGGCCTTTGGGGCAGACGGACATCCCAAGGACCACAGCTCAGCTGTGAAAATGCGCAAGGAAGAAACAGAGTGGCCGGTGTGGTCCTGGATGGCAGGCATGTGGCACTCTAATCTTGCTGGTGATGTGATTTTAGCAAAGGTGCTTGTAAGGCTTCAGAATTTCACAGTATAAGGCTTATTTGTAACTATAGCCTGTCCCCACCATAGCTGGCATGGCTGTGAATTTATTGGGGTGCTGCAGCTACCTGGTCAGTCTGTAACCTCCCTGGCAGCCATGGTCCCTTAATGGAAGTTGAGACAACAGGGATGCAGGTGAGGGAGTGCGCCTAGCTCCCGTTTTCCCTGAGCAGAGGAATTAAATGATGAACATCTCAATGCACCAAACACATTGCTCCTCACAGAGCCAGTCTTGGTGAGACAGTTCAGATGAATTAGACCATGTGTCTGTGACCACTGGGTCACACCTTAGCATGGAAATTTCAGGTCAACAGGACAAGGAAATTCTGTATCTATATTCTATATAGATAGGAAATGCTTTCTTGACTCAAAGGAAAGTGAATCTTGTTCAAAAGTCATTTTTCTCCCTCCACACTGTATTTCAGATGGCATGAGAAAACTTGTTTAAACAAGGGAGTCTTCTTCTTCTGTCAAAAGCATTAACTCCTGCCTGCATCCCACTTGAAAATCACTTGAGAAAGTGGTGGGGGTTTTTTTTGTTTTTTTGTTTTTTTTTTTTTTTCCCTTTTGCAATGGCAATATAGGATTTACATAGTGGCTGTCTCCTAACATTAACATCCTGTCAACTCTACCAAACCTTCTGATCTTCAGCTTCCCACAAAGTCCACAGGGTGTCTACTCACCTTAAGCAAAAATGGATCGCAGTCAGAAAGATGGGAATTTTTAACAAAGCATGATTTTCCCTACTGTATTACCTAGTCCCTAGAGACATTTAAAAAAAAAATTACAAAAAACAGCAAATGAGGCTAGTGTACTCAGAGGAACTCTGGGATCAAAGACAACATGCCTGTCTTTGAGAACACATCATACTGTGAGCAGCCTGCTTCCCCATTTGCAACCAGAATCTCCGCTGGCCAAAAAACTCACCAGTCCTCTCCCAGCCCTACAGTATCACCCAGCCATTTCCTTCCTGCCCTTCCAGCCTCCAGTTAGGTGCACAGATTGTCCTTCCAGTACAGAGTCCCACTGGACAAGGCAGTGCTGTTCCAGTTAAATTCAGCAATAAGTCACTCCTGTAAAACTAAGGCAAAAATCGGTGATTCTGCCAATTACTCAGGGGTTTGGTGGGCCAAAACACACAGCTCCGTGAAACCAAGCAGACTGTCATCTGAGAAAGACAGAGGCAGGACTGCAAGGTTTGATGGAGCAACCCCAGGCACAGAGCTGGAATGGTGGTCAGCAGTCACTTGCCTTAGGCAGGTGCAGATGGAGAAGCTCTGCCTGAGCCGTCGTGGCACACAGTCCCAGAATCAGCACTGTGTACACTACACTGGTGTATACCTTGAGCTTTTGCACCCAGGGAGGAGTCCTCTACCATGCCCTCCTGGCATGGCCTGTGGTCCCTCCAATCACTCTGAACCCCTCAGTCAGCTTAAACCAAATTTAGCAGTAGCAGAAGTCTCAAAGGCATTTGGCACCCACAAGCTTTTCCATGACCTTCAGTGGCATCGTAAAGGACAGGAGACCTACTAGCAAATTCTTCTGAACAGCCCAGATAAAAGGATTGCTTCAATCAAAATATGTTCATGATAAAACAACTCTAGAAACACTGAATATATTAGCTGCAATTTTGAAAGCATATGAAAGACAAAAGCTATTGTTTCCTGCTACTCTGAAGTTGCTGGTCTGGAATGCTACTATGGATTTCCAAAAGGCATCTAAGAGGCACTTCCTTCTTTGTGGATTGTGCAATTTGCGGGTACCTACCTGGCACTTAACTCTTTGGAAGATTAGCACAGCAGCATGCGGAAGGGGCAGACGTGGTAGGGCCCGACTTGAAATGATAAGCGTTAAGTCATAACTTCTGACAGGAGAGCCAACCTACCTCCAAACTGTGTGCCTGTTTTGGTTGGAGCAAACAAAAGGATTTCCAGAAGGCATCTAAGAGGCACTTCCTTCTTCTTTGTGGATTGTACAATTTGCGGGTACCTACCTAGCACTTAACTCTTTGGAAGATTAGCACAGCAGCATGCGGAAGGGGCAGACATGGTAGGGCCCGACTTGAAATGATAAGCGTTAAGTCATAACTTCTGACAGGAGAGCCAACCTACCTCCAAACTGTGTGCCTGTTTTGGTTGGAGCAAACAAAATTACAGGCCATTTGGGAGCGGGCTAAAATAACCATTCCCTGGTCAGAAATCACACAGCCTGGCAAGTCACAATGAACCCTCCAGCACATCTCTCTCTGCTTCAAACCTCTCTTGAACACTTCAGGATTTTGTTTCCCAATGCTTCTCTGACAGACAGCAAGCAAACATCGTCCCTTTTCATAGCGACATCAAAAAACAAAGGCACCTACACAAATCACCAACTGGCAACAAAGATCTACCAGTTGTAGACCATCACTCCTAATATGCAGAAGTGAACCACAATGGATAACATTGATCCAGTTGTCATCACCAATGAGGAAGATGACAGTTACTTTAAAAGCCCAGTTGGTGATCTCAGTTTCTCAAGGCAGAATAAAAACATGTGGGACCAGACCCCTCCTATGCAACTGGCAACACATTGAGGACATGTAGGACGTCCAGCGGGAGGCTTTGTGGCTCAGTTTTACAGCTGGAAGCACTGAGTTGCCTAGGTGGGACATGAAAGGACACAGGCTCACCATCTCTGGCAAGTCAAAGGACACATAGTGGTAGGAAGAAAACCTTATGAGGAAAGCTGAAAGAGGTATTAGAACAACTGGGTAAACACAAGAAAGAATTATCAGACTAGCCATGTCCTTCTCATTTCCCTAATAACACATGTGAAACACGTACTAGAATACCCAGCATTGCTGAAAAGGCACCACAGTTGCAGTGAAATACAGCTACTTGAATTCAGATATCCAAGCTGAAGGGAAAAATTAAAGAAGTGTATTCCAGGGCCTCTTTTAAAACAGCAAAAGTATTGTATAAAAACATTTCCCTGTACAGTAACGTTAAAATGAGGAACATTAACACCTGCATCTTGCTTCAGCTAGTATTAAATTTCATCATAGCTAATGGAAACCACCAATGGCTGCTCTACAACAGCCCTAAAAGCAATGAAAGGGAGCTCACCAACTGTGCAAAACTGCAGATTGCTCCTAGTTCTGTGCATCTCACAATACGTTGTGGAATAGAAAATCTTGTTCCCCTAGAAGGGAACAGAGTTTTTAAAAAAACACCAAGATAGAACTATGTCATTTGCCTGGTTATTTGAGACTTTCAGCATTTCCACAGGAGAGAGATTCCAGAACTGCCTGTTACAAGGAACTCTTCTCCTTGTATTTCTGGTAAGCATCAAATATTTCCTTGACAACACTTGGATCATCAAGTGTGGTGACATCTCCCATGTTGCTTGATTGTTCAGTGACTACTTTCCTCAGCAACCTTCTCATGATCTTCCCTGATCGGGTTTTAGGAAGACGTTTCACCACCTACAGAGAAGGGGAAGACACACCTATATTAGAACCTGGGTTCTGGTAGAAATCACAAGGAAATTTGGCTGAAGTGTCCTAAGCCTGGCACACTATCTCATGGCCACAGCTCCTTTGAAGCTCCTGGGAAATACTAGACCACTGAGCACACTACTTTATGTCCAAGGAAAGGAGTATCACTAGCATCAATTCCTTTTGCTATAAATTTTGTTCTTATTTAAGTGGACTTCAGGTTGGATATTCGGAAGAACTTCTTCACTGTAAGAGTCATTAGGCATTGGAATGGGGTCCCCAGGGAGGTGGCGGACTCACCATCCCTGGAGGTGTTCAAAAAACGTTTTAGATGTGGCACTTCAAGACATGGTTTAGTGGGTTTAGCGGGCACAGTGGATTGGGTATACAGTTGGACTTGATGATCTTTGAGAGATGACGGTCTCTTCCAACCGTAATGATTCTATGATTGCTGTGTACCCCTGCAGGCTGGGTGCTGCAGGACACACGGCTCTTTGGAGAATCAGGTCCAGAATAAGCTGTTAACCATTGAACTAGAAAGCTAGTTACACTTGAAAACTCAGGCACTGATGATGACACAAATCCCAATGCATTACTAGAACAGACAGACATATTCCCCTTTACAGGGCCAGAATATAAAGCACATAATACTGCAGGCCAGCTACAGCATCTCCTACTTAAGGGATAACTCCTGTCCGCTGATGTTTTTCTCTGCCTGATTATATCGGTCAGCCTACACGCCTTCCTTCATAACCAGAAGAAGGTTAAATGCCTTGGGTACGCTTCCTGCAAGGACTTAGCAGCAGGTACAAAGGCTTTAGCATAAACTTGAGCCTGGTAAAGAGTTCTCAGGCACTGAACGGAGACGTTAGCAGGTCTCACATTTTGCTACATGATCAGACCAGCTGGCTACAAAATTCCAAAGCATTAACTAACATGCAAGGGAAGAGTTGTAGGACTTCTCTGCAGGACTACCCCCAAACACAGGGAAACAGAGGGGTTTCCTTGCAAACCTGCAAGTTCTAGGAGCTGCTCCAATTCACTGAGGATGTCCCAGACTGTTGAATGACCCACCCTTGCCTACTCCTGTTGTATTCTGTAACCTATGTCTTGGTGTCCACCTTCCCAGCATGTGGCTAAAGCAGAGCCCCTCAAAGAAGTGGCCTGGTCACTGCCTCCAAGCAGAGAGTGGGATAGATGCAGATGGGCCTCAGGGGGCAGCTAAAGGGCAGCTTTGTGCACTCTCCCCAGACACACAAAGGGAGCTAGTGAAAGGTGAGGAGGCTTGAAACGGAGCCAGGAGTTCATCGGTGCTCCCATGGTCAGGCTGAACAGCCGTCAGTTACGCAACAGAAACAGCCAGTGCTTTGGGATCTGGGGTTGATGCTAATTATCGACACAAAATAGCTGGGCAGTGGAAAATGTCACTCTGCCCCTCAGTGACACTGAAGGTTGTGGTGTTTCTCTACAGTTTGGTGGGATTTTATCTGATCCATTGCACAGGGCTACAGAGATTAGTGGGTTCAGCAAGGGGTTAGCTGAGGGCAAGAGCTGTACAGAGCAGTAACGCTGCTGAATGGTGAACAGGGACATCAAGCACATCTTGAGGCACAGGGTGGGCCTGGGGTTCCCCTCTGCCAGAGCTCTTGCCAAGCACGGTACTCTCAACACTCACTGTGCATCCCATTTAAAGGGTTGTTCAGCACTTGGCTCAAATGAAGCAGCCTCAGGGTAGCTCTAAAATCCGCTCTGTAACAGCCCCATCAAGAACTGCTCTGCAGGCTGGAGCAGCTGTAATGTCCCAGGCACTCTCTGGGTCACTCCTGATCCTCAGGCATGGAGAAGGAGCACATGCAGACCCCCCTACCTAGGGATCCCTCCAGCTAGTTCTGTTTTCCTGCTTCTTTGTCCTGCCAGAGAGGGACAACTGCAGCACTGCAGACAGGAAGCTGAGGCTTGTTCAATGTGACCATTCTTGCTCCTGGTCCCAGTCATGGTCTCCCACTTACCAGAATGTGGTCAGGCACAGCATATTTTGCTATCTTGGTAGCCACTATGGTTTTGAGCTCTTCTTTGACACGGTCTATATGAGCTGTCTGCTCCTTCAGCACTACGAAAGCAAAGGCACCTGGAAGACAAATGAGCAGAAGCCACATAACTCATATTAGATCCTGGCTGGCAAGGCCAGGGATGCTCACTCGAATGCCAAGGCAGGTTTCAAATCATTCCTATGCACAATCTGGGGACTGCCAAAAAAAACATAGATCCTATTTACAAAAGGGAGTTGGACTCCAGCCCTCAAATGATGGCCCAGGTTTGTCTTGGCATCTATGGACCGGACTGATCTCACTGACAATGACAACTCAACATAAATTACCAAAGTGTCATTGGGATCAAAAGCCGGCCAACGCAAATCAGCTATTCCCATTCTGTTCAAAGGACATCTCGGAGCACAACCCTTTTAAAGGAAGATCTACCACGTACGTAAACACTATGTACAAAAACAGTTTAGGGAGTAATACCTTAGCAACATGCAGTGATTTTCATGGCTGCCTTTCCCTCTTGGGGCTGCAACGCCAGTTGGCCTAAGGATAACTGCCCTCACGTTCCCTGGGCACCTCCTAACATGCAGCCCAGGTTAGAAATTAAGGGATGTGTACATAGGTGTCATGTCAGGACGCTGCTTTTCACATACCTTCTCCTTTGATCTTGTGTGGATACCCAATCACCGCTGTCTCAGGGACCTCAGGGTGATCAGCCTTCACAAAAAGCGAAACAAAAATACACAGAGGATAACAACTGCTTCAAGCCCTGCCGAGTTTGCGCCAGTTGCTGTAGGAACAAAACACCTTACCGTATCTCACCCTCCCCTTGGCA